ATTCCCTGGCAAGAGGGCAGCCTGGTCTGGACCAGCGCTGGTGTGACCAGCAGGAGCAGGGCAGGGATCATCTCCATGGATTCAGCACTGGTGAAGCCACAGCTTGAATCCTGGGGTCAGTTTCGGACCCCTCACTCCAAGAAGGACCTTGAGGGGCTGGAGCGTGGCCAGAGAAGGGCAACGGAGCTGCTGGGGAAGGGTCTAGAGCCCAAGTGTGGTGAGGAGCAGCTGAGGGAGCTGGGGGTGCTGAGCCTGGAGCAAAGGAGGCTCAGGGGAGACCTTCTGGCTCTGCACAGCTCCTGACAGGAGCCTGGAGCCAGGGGGGGGTCGGGCTCTGCTCCCAAGGAACAAGGGACAGGACAAGAGGGAACAGCCTCAAGTTGCCCCAGGGGAGGTTGAGGTTGGACCTGAGGAACAATTTCTTGCCCTGGAGGGTTGCCCAGGGCTGGGGTGGAGTCCCCACCCCTGAAGGGGTTTCCAAGCTGTGGAGATGTGGTGTGAGGGACACAGGGCAGTGGGGACCTGGCAGTGGTTAATGCTTGATGGTCTTAAAGGTCTTTTCCAACCTGAACACTTCTGTGATTCTATGATTTGGGACAATAAGAGGTGGTGTCACCCGAGGCAGCTCTCTGGCTGGATCAGGAAGGATTAAAACTGATAGAAACAGAATTTACCCAAGATGCTAAAACATCTTAGGATGCCAATCGTGGCCCTCAAGCCCTGCTGAAGTCTGCAGGGCAGCTGCTGAGCACAGCTCCTCCCCAGAGAGGAACCCACCCTAAATCCACCACGGGACTCTGTGCTCCCAGGCTTCCCCCGTGCTGGCTGTGGGAGGAGCAGCAGAGGAGCTCTGGAGGTCTCCAGAAGGACCTTGGCTGTCGCTGCTGCCAGGACACAGCCAGGGGGGGCAGCCAGCAGAGCTTTCCTCTCCCTCCTGTGCCCAGCTGGAGGGGCACATTCCAACATCCCTCTCAGGAGGGCTTGTCTCACTGTGGGAATCACCTCGCAGTGAAAGTGGGGGGGGTTTAGAGGGATTGTTGACTTCAATTTGATTTCTGAACCCCTGACTCCCAGGTTTTATCTGCTGTGGGACAGGTCAGTGCATTCCAACCACGCTTGGTGCCTGCTGGGAGGTTTCATTACTATGTCCAGGTTTAAATAGCAGAATCTTTGCTTCTCCAAGGCACAGAGAGGACCTGTGATCTAGCAGAGAACGTGGAGTGGATGTCAGACCACTTGTCTCCTACCTGGGTGTCTCTCCATGGCAGATCACCTCCTCCCTTCCCCTCGTGGCACCCAGAATGTGGGGTGCTGTAACTCAGCAACATCCAAGCGTTTAAACCTGCACATCTTGGAGGGGAAATGACCCAGCAGCAGCGTGGGCCACAAGGGGGGCAGCAGGTTCAGTTCACTCATTTTCCAGAGCTCTTTCTTCCAGCCTTTCAGAGCTAGACCCCAGTCCCCCCACACTGAGCTGAAGGACTGGGCTGAGCTGGGCTCCTGGCAGCCTCCCCGCTAACAGGGCTCTTGTCCCCGCAGGTAAACGGCCACCTGGACTACATGAAGCAAATGGACACGATCCTGCGGGCCGTGGGCGTCAGAACCAGGCAGCGTGGGCTGGAGGGGGAGGGGG